GATGGTCTCCACGACACAGCTTGGAAGGCCGGATGGTCTCCACGACACAGCTTGGAAGGCCGGATGGTCTCCACGACACAGCTTGGAAGGCCGGATGGTCCCCACGACACAGCTTGGAAGGCCGGATGGTCTCCACGACACAGCTTGGAAGGCCGGATGGTCCCCACGACACAGCTTGGAAGGCCGGATGGTCCCCACGACACAGCTTGGAAGGCCGGATGGTCTCCACGACACAGCTTGGAAGGCCGGATGGTCTCCACGACACAGCTTGGAAGGCCGGACGGTCTCCACGACACAGCTTGGAAGGCCGGACGATTCCCACGACACAGCTTGGATGACCGGACGGTCTCCACGACACAGCTTGGAAGGCCGGACGACCCCCACGATACAGCTTGGAAGGCCGGACGACCTTTACTCTGTGTAGAGGTGGTTCCTACTCGGTGTAGGGGTTGGTTCTCATTTGGTTAAGAAGCAAGGCTCGTGAGGACGATTCACAGCTTCCCGGGGCGTCTTGAAGGCAGACGTTAATAGAGTGATTTAGCCATCCTGAGACCTCACAACCTCTCTGGGGTATCTCTTCTGCCCCCCAGAGTTCCCAAGACACCCTGGGTGCCTCTCTAGTCTCAAGAACACGCAGAACAAACTCAGGTCTAATAGGAAAGAAATGACTGACATCTAAAATGCCTGAAAGCACCAGTATAAATCTATGATTTGTTTCGATCCAAAACTCATGTTTATTTGAAGTACAAAGCGTTCAGCAGACTGTGCGACACAGTAGTTGCCAGGATCAGGTTGGGTTGCCGTTGGTTCGGGCTGGTCCTAAACCTGCACACAGAAATAACACCACATGAGACCAGGAGGCATGGCAGGATGTGCAGAATACCCCCGTTGAAAAGCAGAGGTGTAATATGTACTCTGAGAGAGAACTCTATCAACATCAGAGGCCCGAGACTGTTCAACACGCTTCCACTACACATGAGGGGGCCTAACTAGCCGACCCCTCACAGTGTTCAAGAGAGAAGTTGATAAACACCTCCAAAGGATATCTGATAAACCAGGCTGTGATTCATACGTCAGGCTGTGAGCAACGGCATCCAACAGCTTGGTTGACCAGTTCAGAAACCAGGAGGGCTCGTCGAGGACCGGGCCGCGGAGAAGCTAAGCCCCGGAATCATCGCAAGGTAACCGCAAGGATGGTTACCGTTTCCTGTGGCAGATGGCTACAGGTGACGGATCTCCCATCCTGAGCACTCCAGGTGTATGAATTGGGTTCTAATCTCACACACTACATTTTTGAATACCCAGTCACTAGACTTCAGACCTGCCAGTATGAGGCATCTTGAGCTTTGCAATCGCTTTATTACCTCTCGTGTGCACGAGGATATCCACATCATGCACTGAAAGTTTGCCAGTATAGGCTACTGACTACAGGGCCCTCTATGACTAACCATCCTGTGTGATGGGTATTTGCTGGTTTCTGACACATTCTGTACTCCCCTTCATATAGTCTAGTCCAGCTGCATAAATGCTACGGTACCTAAATGTGTTTAGTTTATAAATCGTGCCCAATGAGCTCTCTCGCATGAGTTTCTCATATTAAGTGTGATGGTATTCCCTCCTACCTTTATTGTCTCGTATAAATAACTCTTCTTGTGAGTGCTAATTATAATTTTTTTTATGCTGTGTTTATTTTGCTGATGTTTGTGGTGATATCTTCGTGCAAATTGAAAACTTATTCTTCTAAAATTTATGCAAATAAGGAACAGTGAAAAGGCAATAAATTTTCACGTCGAAAATCTGATCTAAATAATATTTTGAGAGTAAAAAATCGCAACTCACGTGTTTGAAACGATATTAATGATATATCTGGACGACTGTACGGAAATATATTGTCGAAGGTTGGGACACAAGCATCAAATGCATTTATAATTCTGTCTTACGAATGTGTGCGTCAGTGAGTATTTCTTAACCTTGAGAAACAACCTGGAGTACCTGGCAGCGTGCTGAGCGGGACGCGAGAGTACCTACAGGATAGGACGCAGAGGGTATTAGTGAGATCCGAGAGATGAAAATGGAGTGATGTAATGTGCGCTCTACTACAAAAGTACTACGACCCATAATCCTTCTAATTATATATATATATATATATATATATATATATATATATATATATATATATATATATATATATATATATATATATATATATATGCAGAATAACCACATATGAAAAATAGAAAATGCTTAACGCGTTTTCGGCTAATTCGCCTTCATCAGAGCAAAGTAGAATCCTACTTTGCTCTGCATTCTACTTTGCTCTGATGAAGGCGAATTAGCCGAAAACGCGTTAAGCATTTTCTATTTTTCATATGTGGTTATTCTGCATACTTGGATCAGTGTTTTTGTGATCATTGTTGCATATATATATATATATATATATATATATATATATATATATATATATATATATATATATATATATATATATATATATATATATATATATGTCGTACCTAGTAGCCAGAACGCACTTATCAGCCTACAATGCAAGGCCCGATTTGCCTAATAAGCCAAGTTTTCATGAATTAATATATTTTCTCTAATTTTTTTCTTATGAAATGATAAAGCTACCCATTTCATTATGTATGAGGTCAATTTTTTTTAATGGAGTTAAAATTAACGTAGATATATGAACGAACCTAACCAACCCTACCTAACCTAACCTATCTTCATAGGTTAGGTTCGGTTAGGTAGCAGAAAAAGTTAGGTTCGGTTAGGTTAGGTAGTCGAAAAAACATTAATTCATGAAAACTTGGCTTATTAGGCAAATCGGGCCTTGAATAGTAGGCTGATAAGTACGTTCTGGCTATTAGGTACGACATATGTATATATATATATATATATATATATATATATATATATATATATATATATATATATATATATATATATATATATATATATATATATATATATATATATATATATATATATATATCAATTAAACAGGATCCTCCTTGTCCAGTGTTTGCCGCCGATGCAAAACTGATGAGATGATTTAGAAAAGTAAAGGAAATCCCGCAAATGTGAGATATAAATGAAAAGATCAACTGGAGCAATGCGGGGATTCGAACCCTCCACCTGGGTCCACGCCAAGTCGCACACCTTACCTCTGGACCACGACATGGTAAAAGTCATTCAACCTGGGATTCCACTGAATCTGGATTCAGAGGAATCCCAGGTAACAGCACATGTTGTTCTTGAATAGATTTTGATTTAGTAGAGGTAAAAGTAATTTTTTTTCCCCTTTGAATTTCCAATTCTTTTTATGAACGTCTGTCTGAACAACTATTATTTTAATGATCTAACATTTTGTTTAAATATGTGTGTTGAAAGGCTTAAGAACACACGAAGGTTACATAGTGACCACAGTTGTTCAAAAGAAAAATACGGTTTTATTAGATTATTTATTATTTTTCAAGCTTCATCCAGCATTTTTATATGGCCTGAAATTTGCATTTGAAAAGCATTTTCCTGTCCTGCACGATCTTTCAGCATTATCTTAGATCAAAGAATGTTCGAAAGGTGTGTGTGTGTGTGTGTGTGTGTGTGTGTGTGTGTGTGTGTGTGTGTGTGTGTGTGTGTGTGTGTGTGTGTGTGTGTGTGTGTGTGTGTGTGTGTGTGTGTGGAGCATTTGTGCATAATATTTAGTCAAGGTGCTATTAAGGTGAGTTAACAACACCTTGCCTCAAATTTAGACCCTGATTAATTTTGGGGTTAACTTAGAAGATCTTAGTTGACAGTCTGTGTATGAAGATTATAATAGATCCTTAAAGGCGTAATTCTGTTGATGTTATGATCCAAAAATGTTGCTTAGACTGCTCTTGCAACAAGCAAAGACAGCAAACACAGAGTAAACAAAAAGACTTTCTGTCACCATTCCACACTCTCTATCTTGTTTACTAGCTCTGTGTCTCTCTGCTCTGTCTGTCTGTCTCTTTCTGTTTCTCTTTTACGCTACGTCAAGATGAGTGCTTGGTCGAGCCGTGTTGCAGGGCATGATGTGATCTCTGCAATATTGCTGCTTCAAAGCTCCCTCTCTCGTCGACTTGGAAATCACACCAATTGGTTTAACTTTACATTAATTTATATTCTGTTCGAATTTTATTGCACATGCAACACAATATTTTTTTTATTGGCTTTATATTAAATTTAATTAAATAACTATTCCACCAATTTTGTCATGGTCTGTTTTCAGGTTATATTTGTCTGGCTTTTGTTTAATTTTTTTATGTAACCAAACTGTGTTCTTTTCACTGTGTGTGGTCAAGTAGGTCTATATTGGCACAGTGGTGGGTTTCATAGATGTGCTAATCAATAATGGCTGCCCGCTGTGTTTCATTTGAATTAATTATTCATTTTTGTTAACTTTACGAAGCTTTTCCCGCTCCCGCTCCCTCTCCCTCTCCCTCTCCTCTCTCTCTCTCTCTCTCTCTCTCTCTCTCTCTCTCTCTCTCTCTCTCTCTCTCTCTCTCTCTCTCTCTCTCTCTCTCTCTCTCTCTCTCTCTCTCTCTCTCTCTCTCTCTCTCTCTCTCTCTCTCTCTCTCTCTCTCTCTCTCTCTCTCTCTCTCTCTCTCTCTCTCTCTCTCTCTCTCTCTCTCTCTCTCTCTCTCTCTCTCTCTCTCTCTCTCCTCTGTTTCCCTTCATATCTTTCTCAGGCCTATTCGTATAGAGTGTGGAAGTGGATGGAACAATTAGTTTTGCCACAGGAAGCGGCTAGTACCCGGCGGGTCCCGGGGTAGTCTATCTCTCCCCCCCCTTCCACCCAGTATTACACCCTTTTTCTTCCCCTCTCTCCACACACACTTTCCTTCTCTCCCATCTCACCCTTTCTCTCTCTTCCCTCTCCCTGTTTCCCCCCCCTCACATCATCCCCATATTCAAGAGTCTCTCCTCTCATGCTCACTTTTTCCTAAGCATTAACTAAGGTGGGTACTTACTTGTTAAACAATACGATGTCCGGTTTCCATACTTTGTCGGGCGGGAGCCGGAGGACTTTGATGCCACCATAGTCGGCCGCGTCCCATCTCAGTTGGTAGTCCTTCCACACCTGCGGGGCGGTAGAAGACAGGTGTGTGTACTCAGTACTCGACATGACAGTAGACAATCTGTGTGGAAGCGTGTTTGGATGACAGAACACCGTTCATAAGCAGACTGGAGAGTCACAGTAGCGTGGGTAAGAATTTTGTTTACACGACCAACACGATATCTAGAAGTCGACGACCTTTCGTTTCGTCCTTTCGGTCCAGAAAGGAGCGAAATGTCGCCACTTTCACTATTTTCAGATGCGTTGATTGGGTGTTTTACGTTCATATTTCTGACTACTAACGAAGGAGCTGAGATGAACGTGTTAGTTATAGGAGTGATATACCTGAAAAGGGGCCTAACAGCTGAGTGGACAGCGTTTCGGATTCGTAGTCCTGAAGTTCCGGGTTCTATCCCCGGTAGAGGTGGAAACAAATGGGCAGAGTTTCTTTCACCCCTGGTGCCCCAGTTTACCTAGCAGTAAATAGGTACCTGGGAGTTAGACAGCTGCTACAGGATGATTTCTGGGTGTGTGTGTGTGTAAGAAAAAGGAGGCCTGGTCGAGGACCGGGCAGCGTAGACGCTAAGCCCCGAAATCATCTAAAAAAAATCAATCAAATCAAACCACTCAATCAAAATCCTCTCAAGATAACCTTAGACGGAGGCAGGTTTAAGGGTGTATTCAAACTCAGGATGTAGACATGTGTAGGTGTTAGAGACTCGTTAGATGTAGAATCCTTTTCGTAAATAGTCAAACCTCGGATCGTTGATGTTTAACAACCTTAACAAGGATTAACAAACTGTTGCTGTAGACTAACAAGTTAAATGGGGTAAAAAAAATTCTTGACTGTAGACTGATATAATGAAAAGACAAACCTTGGATGTGAAAAGGTTTATGTTTTAGGGCAATTATAAGCGTTTGTATGTTGAATGATTTAAGTCTCGGGGGAGGGGGGGGAGGTCGTAGAGGAACATAGTATGTAAACTGGTTTAGGGCACATATAAACCCCTGCATGTAAACTGGTTTAGGGCACATATAAACCCCTGCATGTAAACTGGTTTAGGGCACATATAAACCCCTGCATGTAAACTGGTTTAGGACACATATAAACCCCCTGCATGTAAACTGGTTTAGGACACATATAAACCCCTGCATGTAAACTGGTTTAGGGCACACACACAAACCCTCCATGTAAACTGGTTCAGGGCACAGATAAACCCCTGCACGTAAACTGGTTTAAGGCACATATAAACCCCTGCATGTAAACTGGTTTAGGGCACATATAAACCCCTGCATGTAAACTGGTTTAGGGCACACACACAAACCCTCCATGTAAACTGGTTTTTGACATAAACACAAACCCTGCATGTAAACTGGTTCAGGGCACAGATAAACCCCTGCACGTAAACTGGTTTAAGGCACATATAAACCCCTGCATGTAAACTGGTTTAGGGCACACACAAACCCTCCATGTAAACTGGTTTGAAAACAAAAGCCAAAAAACTTTCGAAAGTAGAGATAAAGTCTTGTCCCTGAAGGCAGTGTATAATCAAAATGTTTTATGAATTGCATTTTGAGTTTGTCATGAGCGTCCAATACGTCACTAAAAATCAAAGACTGATTACACAATTATTATGAATATAACTGTTTTTGAGGTTATTTTTCAATATTCGAAATTAATTTTCTTTATCACAATTTGTAAGAGTCTGCTAAAATAAAAAAAATATCATATTGGCAAAGGGACACTTTTCCGTAATGCTAATTAATAGCAAATAGAATGCATTCTGCTAACTTGTAATGGCTAGGCCGTGAAGCCAACAATTAGGGTGCGCTATTCACTCATAACAATGACAGAGAAACAATAGTACTCAACACCAATGGCAGCCGAACAATGCCACTGAACACCAGGGCAAATACTACACAACAAACCATTTAAAGCAGATAGTTAGTGCCTTCCATTCAACGAGTCATATCGCTCAATTAGGGGTCACTCGCGTATAATGAATAACAGCTTCAAGGACCCACTCTTGCCATCTGTCTCTACAATATTTCTCAATAACTGGTGTTTGACTGTTTATTGGCTCTTTGAGAGACTCTTTGAAAGACTCAAAGAGTCTTTGAAAGTCTTTCAAGACTCTTTGAAAAGGTAAGCGATGGAGGATATGATAACTTTATGGAAAAAAACTTAATTATCTTACTTTTGTCATACGGAAGCTCAAACTATATCTATGAGAGAATGGCTATTTGTCTGTCTGTCTGTCTCTCAATATTTTACTTTATGTAAACAATTGGCTTTTGCCAATAATGATAAAAGCAATTTTCATGCATTAAACGTTAAACTATTCTACATTCTTAAAAATTGGCACCACATTGGCAACCGTCCAAGATTACGGTACTCTGCTTGACTCTAATGATTCTTGGCAAGATAAGAGAAGGTACAACTGAGTACTGGAACGTCGAGAGGTACATATGGACCAGGTAAATAGGTATAAGAGGCGGGGTCCATAAGCTTGGTCTTGGTTCCCCACTCTTACATAGCTACAATTAGGCAAGCTCTATTAGATAAGCCCAAGCACGGATCTCTCGTCATTCACATCCAGAGAAGGGCTCCAGCCTGGCTCAGCCCTGACCCTTTCATCTCTGGCCGCCTGTTTTAATGAAGGCTTCAAAAAGACGCCTCACTATTGTGAGTAGTGATATGATCGTCGACACGTCGACGTGTGTGTGTGTGTGTGTGTGTGTGTGTGTGTGTGTGTGTGTGTGTGTGTGTGTGTGTGTGTGTGTGTGTGCTCACCTAGTTGTGCTTCCGGGGGTTGAGCTCTGGCTCTTTGGTCCCGTCTCTCAACTGTCAACCAACTAGTGTACAGATTCCTGAGCCTACTGGGCTCTATCATATCTACATTTGAAACTGTGTATGGCGTCAGTCTCCACCACATCACTGCCTAATGCATTCCATTTGTCTACTACTCTGACACTAAAAAAAGTTCTTGGTAATATCTCTGTGGTTCATTTGGGCACTCAATTTCCACCTGTGTCCCCTAGTGCGTGTGCCCCTTGTGTTAAATAGCCTATCTTTATCTAACCTATCAATTCCCTTGGGAATTTTGTATGTGGTGATCATGTCCCCCCTAACTCTTTTGTCTTCCTGCGACGTGAGGATTCCCGTAGTCTTTTCTCGTAGCTCATACCCCTCAGTTCAGGTATTAGTTTGATGGCAAACTTATGAACCTTTTCCAGTTTAGTCTTATGCTTGACTAGATATGGATTCCATGCTGGAGTCGCATACTCCAGGACTGGTCTGACATATGTGGTATACAAAAGTTCTGAATGATTCCTTACACAAGTGTCTAAAGGCCGTTCTTATGTTGGCCAACCTGGCATATGCCACTGATGTTATTTTCTTGATATGGGCTTCAGGGGACAGGTCTGGCGTGATATCAACCCCCAAGTCTTTCTCTCTCTTTGACTCATGAAGAATTTCATCTCCCAAATGATACCTTGTATCTGGTCTCCTGCTCCCTACACCTATCTTCATTACATTACATTTGCTTGGGTAAAATTCTAACAACCATTTGTTCGACCATTCCTTCAGTTTGTCCAGGTCTTCTTGAAGCCTCAAGCTGTCCTCCTCTGTCATAATTCTTCTTATAATTTTGGCGTCGTCAGCAAAAATTGAGAGGAATGAGTATATTCCCTCTGGGAGATCATTTATGTATATCAGAAACAGGATAGGTCCGAGTACAGAGCCCCGTGGGACTCCACTGGTGACTTCACGCCAATCTGAGGTCTCATTCCTCACACGTGTGTGTGTGTGTGTGTGTGTGTGTGTGTGTGTGTGTGTGTGTGTGTGTGTGTGTGTGTGTGTGTGCGAGCGATTCACTGAGAACAACATAGAAGTATGTGAGGAATTTAACGTGAGATTCCCGGAGGTTTTTCACAATATACCAAGAAGTTTCCGAGCTGAGGAGGAAGGGGTTTGGGCCAAGTCAAGCAACAGTGGCCTTTGAAATAACTAACGACGAAGTAAGAAGGCACCTGGCGCCGTTGAACATCACCATGGATACTAAGAGAAGAAGAGGAAGCCTTGTGCTGGCCGCTTACTATGCTCTATAGCTTTGAAAACCCGGAGAGCTGCCAGAACGCTATAAGACATCGAATCTCGGAAGGAAATATATAAAAAGGAAAACCGAGAACCGGCATCAAACCACAGGCCCGTGTCCCTTATTCATAAGAAAAAAGCAAGGAGAATATCTGGAGAAAAGGACCTATAGCAGAACCAACATGATTTCACTAAAGGCGAATTCTCACATTAAAAACTCTCGATATAAGGAGTAAGTTGACAACTGAGAAGTCGACGAACAATTTTAAGTCTTGTGAGTTCTCATGTGAGAGTTTTGTTTACAAAGGTGCCTGTGGATGCTTTATTGAAATATCTGTTGCCTGAGCTTCTTAAATATAACCTACAATTACGTGCATTCACCATTAATGAATGAATTAAACAATGTGATAGGGATTATACCTCTGTTTTTAATGGGAACTTCTATGCCTTGACGTTTGATTTGACGATAATGAAACCCCTTATCTCCAGTACCCAGCAATATAATAAATGTAGGTTTCCGAAACTAGGATTTTATCCAATATAAGTATAGGATAAAATACAATGTAATGTCTTTTGTTATATTCTGTGGACCTCAATGATTTTCTGGTAAAACTCAACAATTTGGTTCCTTCCATTAAATTCACAGGTGCAAAGGAAAGCAATGTAATTCTCCCCTTTTTGGACACGTTGTTTCACCCACAAGATGAAAGGTTTGAGTTCTGTGTTCGTACAAAAACCATCGAAAATGTGTTCGTGTGTGCATGTCTATTCAAACTCTCACATTAGGGTTAAATATTCTATGTATTCCTCAGTGTTTTTAAGGACTTTGTTCGTCTTTAGCCACGAGTTTATTTACACAATGTCTACAATCTTTGCAGTTGTCTCTAGGTTGTTATACTCTGGCATAAGTATAGCTTCTAAGCAA